CCATCCTTGTTCTTGTGAGATCCCCATGTATACCACTCGGCTATCCTGCCACACTTCTCTCATAAACAATGCCATATATGGACAATCAATTATTGATGAGATAACAGAGATCTCTGACCATCTCCCTCGTTCCACTTCGAGTCCCCTGAGCTCCCTTTCTCGTTCCCTCCCTCTTCCCACCAACAAACACAAAGACAAGCTGACTGAATGAATTTATTCGAAATGAATTGAAAAACAAAACAAAAACAACAACACACACATTATCATTACACATGACATACAAGGAGAAAAAAGAAAATGAACTTACCTTCCAGTGGAAACCATTTCCTCCTCCAGTGTGACCAATTTCTATCTTTGAAGGATTCAAGATGAAGAAAAACCTTTTCGAAACAAGAACGAAACAAATAGCGCATACCATTATCGGATAGAGAATGAGAAGCTGATTCGAATGAGTACAAACACAAAGCTATCAACTCGAAAATAAGACTCAAAGTTGGCAGAAAAACATTTTTGGTCGCGCGTTCAGGAGAAAATTCCGGAAAAAAAAGTTTTTTCATAAAGAAAAGAATTATAAGCGCATACCATATTCGGATAGAGAATGAGAAACTGATTCGAATGAGTACAAAAATGTAACTATCAATTCACAAACAAGGCTCAAACATGGCAAAAAAACATTTTTGGTCGCGCGTTCAGATGAAAATTCCGGAAAAAAAACTTTTCTCATGATCAATAGAAACGTGAGCGCATACCATATAAGGAAAGAAATTGAGGAGCTGATTTGAATGAATAGAAACATAAAAGTACGACTTCAAGAACGTAGACGTTGGAAAAACCAACTTCGATTACACTGTCAGGAGACATCCCGGGAAGCAAATGCTTACTGGCATGAGCTCTCGAGGTCGTACATGACTACTCTCATACAACATGAACCTAACATATCAGACCATATAAGGAGGAACAACAAGGAACTGAACATAAATTTCACTGGAAATCTTTTCGTACTCTACATGCGCAGTTTCCATGTCCAAGAAATTCAATTACGGAAAAACACTGTCTGTGAAGTTGACCGAAACAAGAAGCGCGCACGATAAGAGGGATAGCATGATAAATTGGATAGGAAAAACATAAACGTCAAAACATAAATTTGAAAAATAAATTTTGGTTGCACTCGTGGAGGGTTGAGAGTCATGGAATTAGATAGTTACCATAAAAGGAAAGGAACGGTGGAGAACGCGAGCTGAGAACTCAGTTGAACACCTTTCGAGAAGAGAACAGCCAGGTGTTCGCTCAAAAATGAAAACATCTAATCTCTTTCAAAACAATTCAAGATTGAAAAGAAACGGAATAATAAAAGTAAAGAGACTCTGGTACATTCGATCATCACTTGACTGATTCCGTAACGGAAGGCTCAGGTAGATTCAATCAACAGAACCTTCTCTAGATGATGAGGACAGAACAGGGGAAAACGAGAAGAGAGAGTTCAGAACAGTGCAAACAAAAGGTTTAACAGACGTACAAGATGATTGGGTACTAACCAACTTGAAGAGAGTACTCTCTCTCTCAATCATCAAAAAGAAAAGAAAGGATGAGCAATCATAGAAACAGTCTTGGCTGGATGTTAACGACGGAGAGAGCAGAGGATGTATGATCAGTTATGATTAGAGAAGAAACAACTTATCCAAAAGCACATATGATGTCAAAACGGTCAAAACTTAATAGGATACTCCAGACTCAATCGATAATCTGTAAGTTGATGAGAATAGGAGCAAAATAGGAAAAATCGATGAAAACTAAGGAGCAGAGGAGATGAGCTCAGACTACAACAGTCAAGTACAAGGGAAGGATCATTCCTAAACTCATAAAAGGAAGATATTTAAGTAAGAGAAACATTGCTGTGAGCCTGAGCTTCAATCAAGTCAAACGTATGATTGTCTATGAAGAGTAACACAATCACATGGAAGATGAACTATATAATTGGATTTGAAATGGAATTTTGATATGAAACAACCCAATAAACATTCAATTTGATACAATTTTAGAGAAGTTACAGCATTTTCTCGAAAGGGGACGACCGGGTCATTTTATTTTTCACGTGAAAAGAATTTCCACGTGACGCGTTTGCGCGGGGGTGTATAAGCCGTGAGGCTTCTGAATCACGTCAGTTGGCGGTGTGAGCCGGTGAGCTCCACTCCTCTCTTTCTGGAGGCTCTCCAGAAAGGGGGGAGAAGGCTATTCGACTCGCAAGCCAGAGATGAGACCTGGACAACTTTGGGTCTCATCTGAAACGCACCGAGGGTTGCATTCCACCAATAACCGCTCAGAACGGTTGCATTCCACCAAGAATCGTCCAGAACCGTTGCATTCTAACCGTTCGACCTACTCACGCTAGAGGCAATGATAGCATTTCTCTCACATCCTCATATACAAACTACAATTTCAAAACCTCAGAACGCTTTCTTGAATTAACCTAGTTCATCCTCTTCCATTTACAGACATCTCCTGCTGAAGCTTCTGATGCAGCATTATCTCTCAAGAGCTATTCAAGTCTGAGTAAAAATATGCAAAATGTTTTTCTTGCATTAAAATTGTTCATCTCATATACAACATTCACTCGGCCTCATACAAAAAACAAAGCCTGCTGATATTTATGAATGAAATACAATTACTCAAAAAGTGTTAAGCCGAGAAGAAAATGTCGTCGGTAGAACAAAGGGGTTCCATTTTCTCAGCACAACATTATCTGTTTGAAAACAGTTATGACTTATCAGAACAAACGAAAATTTTTATTCAATAAGCTTACTAATTTCTGATGGATATATTCCTTCTGACCATGAGATTCCTGTCCATCTTCGGTTTTCTGCTCTTGATATTAACAGCTTATTTAATTACTTCCGTGAAAACGAAGCTAAACATTACATCTCGCTTTGCCATACTCGGCTACGCCATCTCGTTAGATTACTTTTTCAATGCGAATAATATTCGTTCTTCTTAGATCTGCAATCACACAACTATATTTAACATTTGGCACAATTCCGGTTTTTCTGTTTCCTTGTATTGGAGGGTATCCCAATGGTATACTGTTACATTGTGGGATGAGTTCTAAGAACCAACTATGGACGACAGTTCTATTGATTGGAGGTACGATCACTAAACAATTAAATAAAAATAAAAATTTAGTGACCAGATGGTTTGTTGCCTTCCTTTCTGTTATTAGAGCGTTTGCAGTTTCATGGAATATGAATAAGTATGTGAAAAAGGGTGTTGTCGTAGCTGTCATAGCTTCTCTCGTGCTCACTCTTTTCTTTTACCCATATATGGGTTTGAACTTGAAAAATGAGGATGATAGAGGACGTCTGGATTGCATAAAAGTGTGAGAAGTGCTAAACATAGTATAAAGAATTATTCTAGACAGCACCTTTTTCTCTACCGCCTGAGGCATATGAATATGGTTCGATATTTTTCATCCCTGCTAACTATAGCGATAATTTACAAACGTTTGCTCTGGGTTCCATCTATTTAAGCTTTTTACTTGGAATCCCTACTGTGACATGTGGACTGCTTTTGATAAAGAGTTTAAAAAACCATGCAAAGCAAACAACTTCATTCACGTTCTCCAAAACGCAGCAAAAACTTACAAGAGCTGTCTTGGGCTTGGTAAGTGAGTTTGATAACGCTCTTTAGATCAAACTATTTCTAGATGTTGATGGAAGTTTTCGCAGTGATAATGCCAGCTATTCTACTGTTCGGGCCTCCCATATTCTTCATATACATTCCTTGTACAGTCCGAATCAAACTTGAGCTGTCTAAACTTAACCATCTTACAGATATCTCATTTGTTTGCACGATAGTTGTTAGTATACATCTGATCACCGGAAGCCTTTGGATACTCATAGCAAGTCCTGCTTATGAAAATATAATAATTAAATTGATCAGAATTTGTAAGTTCAATCTGACTTTGTGTTAAAGACAAAAATTTTTCTTATTTTTCAGTCCTTCCAATACAATGTCTCAAAATCGACAAAAACTATGAAGCAAAAGTGGATATTGTTCAACTCAGAACAATAACGATATGATGCTTCGCTTGCTTAATCATAAAATCAAAAAGTAATACAAGATAAATATCAAGTTTCTCAACTATTCACTAAGATGATGAGCTTGCAATGCAACTTGCAATGAAGAAGTCAGTCATCTGAATATGTACAACATAAACGAGATTCCAACTTCAAAAATAATTAAAAGATCCGATCAAACATGGTTTCTCAACCAATTCGACAAGCTTGAAAGACAATGACAAATAACACAACAACTTACCTAAGATCTACGAAATGTATAAGACATTGAGATACAATCAGGAGCAACAAAACTGTCAGAAAAACGCGACCTAAGAGATCTATGAGATCTGGGAAATACAAAAAGCAACAAACTACAACGAACGGTAAAAATTGATCATTTTTTGATCGATACACACTGATACATCAGAGAAGTGAGTGGGTTTGTTGTGCAAGTAAGAGATTCATGAGAGACTGATGCACAATCGTTTCACAAATTAATTGATTTTCAACATTATTCACTCAATGGTCAAGTCAAAGATCAGATTTGATTCAGCTTGAGTGTAGAGAGGGTGGCAGAGGATCAAAGAAAGCAAAACAAATGTGAACTTCATGCAAATTAATAGATTTTCAATATAATTCATGAGTGAGACAGTTGAGTATCTCCTATGAATTGTAAAACCTCTGACAATCCATGCAATAGGCGGTTAGGTTGGCAGATCTCATTCAGTTTAGATTCCAAAACATATTCGGATTCAATAGTTTCAACTCAAAACTGGAATTTGTAACCATAAGAACTTGAATTCAGGAAGCGAAGAGGGCAATGAAATAATTTCCCAAATAAGACATTCCCGAAGTACCTTGCGTCTCTACAACTGACTTAACTGACTTAACCGACCGCTAACTTGTTGCTGTTGCCACAGAATGAAACCTTCACTCATTTCATTCTCCAATGCGCTAGGTGAGAGCGGTTGTTCATAGATACTCTAGAGATTCACATTATGTTTCCACCTTCATGATAACTCTTCGTTGTTTTCATCATATTCTCATAACATTCTCAACAGCGTGTACAACGTAGAGAAATCATGAAACGGAAGCAATGCGATGACGGAAACTTGAGCGTTTCCAATCAATTAGTTCGTTATTTTTGAGCCAAGAAAAAGCAAAATGAAAGAATAGTTTACAGAGTTTCTTGATGCATTCTTCGACGACTTCATTGTTCTATTTAAAGAATAAACTCATTCGGACAGATGAACTTCAAGATTCTAATTTAGACACAAGGTAGTATATATACAACTGAAGAGAAATCACAAAAAAAACTGAATCAAGCTCCTTTTCGGGGTATAAAGAGGAAAAAGACCAAACAACTCCTTTTCCCTCTTTCATGCAGAGAAGGCTCATTGATGACAAGAACTTCCGGAGAAAGAACATATAACGTTTACAATACAAAGTCTCAACAAAAGAAAAAAAAATTTTGAAAAACAAGTATGTAGGAGAGAAACAAGTAGAGATCCAACCGATAGCAATGAGAATCAGCCTGAGAAAGCTTCTGTCTCAAACATATCAAGAACTGTAATGGAAGAGTGGGCGACAGATAAATGCTGACAATAATCGGTCCGCAGAGCCGTAAGGTACATTTGAGAACAGAGCGCGTTTACTAACCTAGTATGGCTAGAAAGAAAAAAAATAGGAATATGAAGAAAACATTTATCTTATTCATTACTTTCCTATATTCGTCATTGCTCATTCCGAGAATGAATGCCGGCTTGTGATGTGCCATTGCTGAGATGAGGAAAAGCATTTATAACACTTCAACTGAATGGATGTTTCTTGTTGTCGTAAATAGGATGAAAAGTCTTTCCAAACATGGCGACTTTGGATTAAAGAAGAAGACGAAGTGAGATGTGGTGTGGTTGACTGCAAGAAAACATTATCGGCTTTTGTCAGATTGTTCTTCCTCTTATCTGCATACTTTACTCTTGAGCTTATTCTGACTTGAACAATGAAAATATGCTTTTTTTATCGTTCATGTCAGAATGTGTCAAGATTTAGTTAAGCAAGTGAGCTTGTTTCTTCTCACTTCACTCCCTCTTTGCTCTCTCCGAAATTTGTAATGTCTCATCTATGTTCCTCTTCTACTCTGTCGTCTCTTGCTCTCTTTCATGCTCTCTAATCGATCCTGTGCTTTGTGTTGCAGCACCCCTCAAACTACCTAAACAGCCTTTTCCCCTTTTTGTCTTCTTCAATTTCAGTTTTTTCATGCTTCCGTGTCTCCTATTAACTTATCTATTCAGCTCCGTTATAGCTGGTAAGTGAAGTCTTACTTCGTAATAAGTCTCGCGTCAGATGATCCAAGGCTTTCTGAAGCTCTTTCATATAACTTATACTTGACGTTTTATTTTTCCAGAAAAATGCTATAGCTGCTCATCACCTTTACTCCACCTACGATGGGTATGTTTGATATCAGATTTACATTGTCTCAATTACAATCTGAACTTTCGTGCAAGAGTATACTTTTAAACTATTTTCAGCCAAAAGATGATGATACCAACAAGCTGTTGTACTTATCAGATTTTCCTTTCTATGCCAACGAGAGTTGTGACAACGTAAGTTTAATACGATGTTTGTTTACGAGTTCTATATATATACATATCATACAAATAGTATTGAGGCTTTGGAGAGCCGGCGCCACGATCTAATTAGCTCATTGCATTCAGTTGTCTTTTCAGAGAGTGAAAACGATTTCAGAATCTTAGAATTACATTGTGAATTTGTGAATTATTCTGAATCTATGAAACAAATGAGAAAAAGAGAGAAACAGATGAAGCCATGGAAGTGAGAAAGAAAAAAAAGGCCCAGACGCCCAGACATTACATATAGATAGAAGAGAGAGGAAACACGATGAAGAAAACATGTTGAAGATGATGAAGATGCAGATGCAGGAGAATATGAGAGAAGCAACGCAACTTTCCAATCTAACGTTTCTGAGCAAGTACAACGAAAAGCTAGTAGCTTCGAACTTGAACAAAACTATATAAGGTCATAACAGATTTGATAAAGTAAATGGGATCAGTAACGAAGAGGGCTCATTATCCAGTTCGTCCACTCCAATAACACTTCCATTGTGCTTTATCCGTCAGTAGAAAAATATTTTTTTCTATAAAGCTCAATGATGTATTCCATATTTGGCTCAAATTACATTTGCTTAAAACGTAAATTGAGCTTGTTCGCATTTGCATAACACAGACAATCCGCATCGGTTCTCCATAGCCGCTTCGAAAAACCGTAAAACGAAGTCGGAAATATTAAAAATGATTATAAAATATGGAAAATAATAAATAAAAGCTTTCATTTGAGGTTAAAAATATGATTCCTGTTGTCGATTGTCCCAATAGTGTTTGTATAAAAGCCGTTATAAAGGAACCACCAGCCAAGCGAGAAGCATGTAGTAAGTGATCGGTTCAACACCTTTACGAAAACAAAAGCAGTTTCATGCTTTTGTTTCCATTTCTTGCTACTCTACTGTTGAATTTTCTCATTTGAGAGAACTTCATTGATAGACTTCATGAGATCCTTGATTATCAATTTTCATTTCAGTCGAAAGCGGAGCTGTAGTTCGAGATTGCTGGTCCAGAGTAATGGGTCGAGACGGACTGTCCCCATTAGTACCTCAAACAAGGAACAACATGGTATGCTATACTGAAAGCAATATTTGAATGAATCTTTCATATTGTCCATATCAAAACATATGCATTCCAGGTGAGATTGACGGACGAAGCATTTAGTGGAAAAACAATTGGCTACATCTACACTTGCGAAGGATTTCTATGCAATGAATCCCGTCAATCCTCATTGATTACCTCATTTATATACATCTTCCTCCCAATATACTTTGGTCTGTGACAATGGAACCTTACAGACTATTCTTCCTCACAACAGATTTTTTGCCTTATTTGATAACACGGGTATAACTGAACTTAACTCTCTCTCTTACTGCTCTCTCTCTCACACTCACACTCTCCCTCTCTCATCCCCTTTCCCGAGGAAATGTATTTGAAAAGATCATATATTATGTTTGGTTGAAGGTAAAGAAAGATTTTCCATCAAACTATAATAAATTATTTCTATTACATTGTACTTTATGTGAAAACTTAATTATCAACGTCATATACAGTATATCTGTAGATAGTTCTTCACGTTGTCGTCGTCACCTGCAACATGGTACTGAATAGTTAATGAAATTTATTTCCCCATTATAATTCATCAGGAATAACACAACAGGTAAAATTTCTTTAGCTCCAGCCACATGAAACACTTTCAGCTCCAAGATATTTTCATTTTTGTTTGATTTCCCCCTATCTCCATAGAAACGACGATGGATGACAATAGTCTCCCTCCTTCTCTCCCTCCCCTCATTCCATATCTCGCCCAGTCTTACTTATAAGAGCAATCATGCTTTTTATTATCAGCAATTTCTTGCCATTTATGCGGTCTTTTTTTCAGAATTTCCATCCTCATCCGTGTCATTTTCTCTTTTCTCCACAAATTACTTCGAAACCTTCAATCGATAGGAATTCGTCGAAACGAAGCTTTTCCTAATTTGGTACGAACGATCTCCCTATCATTATCACATCTATATCCAACTATCATAAAGCAATTACTCTCAATGATATATGAATATTTCATTCATAATCTGAGCATATCCAATCAGTCATACGTCCCCCATTCATATTCATTTAGTCTTTGAAAGTTGTATTCTCTCAAGCCAAATATGTTTTTCTTCCTCCAAATTCATTTTTTTTTGTTACAGATGAAAGATTCGCAAGTTCAAGTTCTTCCAGCATTATCCAATTCTCCAGAAAATTTGGTGTAAGTTTTTTGAAGCTACATTTTTTTGATTATTAATCAAATCATCGAAAGCTTGCATGTTTCAAAAAAAAAAAAACATCTTACATGTTGTTATGTTGTCAGTTATTTCCACATCATGAAAAAGCTTCGAAGAGAAAGCTGCACGTGGAATAATTTGAATTTTTCATTTGTTGATGTCAAGCTATTGATGAGAATACTTCCTTTTGTCTCATTTTCTTTTCATCTTAATTAACCTGCCTTCATTGCAGTTTCGAGAATAAACTAGTTGCTCAAGATAAATCTTACTTGAATCGTACATTCACTTACGACATAGCCAAACGACAACGATTACGGGATTTCTCAATGGAAGGTTCAACATTCTATTTGTTCATCTTCCTATTATGCTAATCCTTCAGATGCAATAAGAGGTTTTTTACCTCGGGCCAAAAGCAGCGGACCACGTAATACTTACAAAGATGACTGCAGTAAACTGAAGTACGTTCTATTCCTGTCTATCCCATATTACAAAACTTCCTTCTTTGAGGACAAAAGAATATTTCTCCTGTACGTTACCGTCATTGGATAATGGCCATACAATAGCAACTGCCGCAAACAAATGTTGCACATTGCGACCATGGAGCCGTACACAAGAAGAGCTTAGAAAATATAAACAAACTCTTACTGAGTGTTCTAGCAAAGCCTTATCATGTCCATTCAAAGAGAATAAAAAATAATTCGATTGAAATACTCCAACACTATTAGCATAATCAACCACTCCCACGTGATCACGTGGACGTCCGAGCATCATTTTGGCTTTCATCACGCATTAAACGGTTGCCTTGCTTTCTCTCACGTATAGCGAACTACCGGAAAGAAGTTATTTTCAAACTTCGAAACAAAACGGAGAAGAAATTTGATCTAAACAGGACTATTTTTGAAGACACCATATAGGAACGTTCGAAAAACAAAAACCCTTTCTTCTCCCCCCCCCCCCTTATCATTCGCATGAATCATCAAGGAAGCTCTCGGCCAACTTATCAGAAACCAGAACAAAAGAAATACAATGAATTGATCGCCAAAAATTTGACAAAAAGCCAGCCTTGTGACCGATGTTGTAAGAAAACGGAAAAGGTCTTCTTCCCATCCATATAAAGTGCACGATGCCGTGTTTTGATTCAGTTGTCTGTTATGCGCTTTTTAATATTCTTTAGCTTATTTTATATCACACACACCCGCTCAGTACTAACAAATGAGCTCTATAGAACGGTAATACTGACTATTGGGTTCACATATTCAATTAATTTTTAGAAAAGAAATGCAAGTCCTGCTGCAGATAAATTGGGTAGTGAAATCACAATCTCACTCAATCAACCAGCACCTGCCTTAGGTGATGAAGTTTCGATCCCGTTCAATGAACACGTACAATATAATTTTCGCACAATAATCGAAAACACCAACCTTTTTTTAGAAAACTGTTCCAACTACAACATCTCGTAGTGTTTCCGTTCATACAGATACAACCAGAAGGTTTCAAACAGCATTTCCAAACTGCTCAGCTTCTGCTTGCTTTCAGAACGTTTGCTTCAGCGGCTCAAAAATCAATTCATTGTCCAAGTAGAGTAGATGCATTTAGTCCAGGTGTTTTCTGAGAATCGAAATATTTACAATTTTCAAGTAATTATTAGGTCCTACTTCTGACTTGCTCTTTGACAAACAAACTGTTTATGAAATCAAGAACAACAGGTAGTTTTTGTTGTGCCGTAGCACATATTTGTTGTTGTTGTTGATAGAATTATTGGCAAACGCATCCTCCGTGATCACTTCCCCCAGGGACCATCCGCGGTATCTGCAGCAGTTTACGATGAAGAGAATGAGCTGATTGTCCTACTTCATGAGAGACAGGTTCTTACAGCCCTATTATTGTTATTTATTCCTTATTCTTGAGGTTTACGCCTTCAAAAAATCTGGCAATGCTTTTGAGCTTCTCAGTTCGTACCCTAAGGTATAGATCATTCATTACTTCTTCTGCATTTCTTGTATTGAACTTCGTAACCTGCAAAGCTTTCAGACTTTGCCCCAATCAGTTAATTTCTTACCTACTTCCGCTTTGAAATGGCATGACAAACATCAAATTCTTCTTTCGGTTTCAAATTTATAATTTCTCCAATTAATATATTCCCTGCAGGACAATGGGGACTTCGCCTTATACGACGAATATTGGAACAAGTCGCTGATGTCTGGAACAACATTAAGTTACTTCGAGGTTTGTAGGAGAGACATAGAAAAACAGTGAACATACATTTGTAGGGTTTGCCAGATGGAGTCCGTGGTGTTTCCAGTTGGAAAAACGGAAGAGCTTTCATTTATACTGTGAATTCTGTTCATGAATATGATCAATTCAGCAAGGGATCAACAAACGAGAAAAGCCTATCTGAATTCTTGGAATGTTGAAGATACCTAAAAACAATGTCAACGGAAATATTTGCTACTGTTGCAGCAGCATCTCTTTATCATAATGCAATTAAAGCAATTAAACATCTTTATTTAATATCACAGTACTACACCTAGAGGAAGCGAAAGAAAGTCGAGAAATCTATGATGGAACGGTTATGAACAAAACGAGATGAAGTGTTTGAAAAAACATTTCCGAAAGTTATTCCAGCCAATCAAATGAATCATCCATTTTGACACCATTGTTAGTCATTGCTAGCTGTAAAATTTCGTGAAGGAGCGAATAGTTCGGTTTATCACGATATGTCAAACCATCGAGATGTTTCATGATTCTTCGGAACTCGACCTATAATTCAGTTTCAGAAGTGTTTGTTGACATAACAGCACCTTCGGGCAGAACTTTAACAATACTTCCGATCCATCATCCTCGTGTGATTGTTCCTTCAGCTTTTTGATATCATCAAGATTATCTTTATGCAAACTACTCCAAGGCAGTAATCCTGATAACCACTCAACTATCATATATAACCAAGATTCCAAATCATCTTTTGGAGCCTGTTCTTCTCCTCTATGGGCAGCAACAGAAGCATAACGCGATGTTCCTCTATATTTCAAAACTATCGTCTGAACAAACAGTGAATATAACCAACCTAAACCGAACATCTGTCCGAGGAGTTCTCACTTCACCATTTTTGTGAACATGTGCTCTGGCAATACCGTAATCTATGAGAATCAAGTTGAAATTGGGAGAGCTAGAGGAAGGTGAAAAACAAAAGTTGGACGGCTGAAAAAAACAGTTTTTTCGCTGGATAGTATTGCTGAGCAACTTTTATATCCCTATGCACGAAACCCATGTTGTGTATTTCTTCAAGTGCTGAAAGCGTCATAAGTCCTAAACGCAATCCTGTTGAGAGGGAAAACCGTCCATCTTCGAATAAGCTTTGAACTTTCAGCAAATTATCACCGTGCTATACACAAACAAATAAATTATTTTTGATTTCACAGAATCTTACCAGAGGCATTATAAGGAACTTGAAATGCTCTTCTATTTTTCCACGATCAATCATCCAATTCAAATGCTCAGACCCTTCAGAAACATATGTGTTGGAAATTTCATAATGATACCTCTCTTGCTTGCGATGTTCATCAATGTGTAATCCATATCTAATCCATGAGAATGCGTATCACAAACTTCCAATTTGCAAGCGAAAGGCTTACCATCTCTTTTTCGCAATACCTGCAAACTCACACAGTGAAAGCGGATTCAAAGCCAACCGAGCAGGCAAAATGAAGAGCTTCTACCGGCTGTTTTTGAAAAAGATCCCCAACCTCATATACCGCTCCATATCTCCCCTGCGCTATCGTCTTTCCCACAGCGTAAACACCTTCTCTTCCTCTTATTAAATTATTCCTCGATGGCAATTTCTCGTCAATCGAACTCGATGAAGACGTCGAATGTTCAACACTATCAATATCGGACATCTGGAAAAATCGAGTTTAATCGATAGCAAGGGCAGTATAAAGCTTCATTCTGAGTGGTTTCATGAAAATAGGAACGCTACTCAAAACACGACTAAGAAACATAATATGCTTTTTGAAATGAAAGAAACTTCGCATGAGCATCAGAATTTTTTTGTATAGTAAGGAGATTAGAAAATAAATGCCGACCGATAACATAGCGGAAGGTTAATTCAGTCAAGAGCTCAGCAAAAACAAAACAGCTGACGCTACGACTGAAGGAGATCGCGGAGTGAAATCGGCTGAAGCGCGATCTATGAGAGTTGAACAGATATAAACAGAAACTTTTGTTGACAAAGCGCAAGCAAAATTCGCAATGTGATGAAAAACTACGAATTATAACAAGGTCAACAGAACCAAAAAACGTACCTTATTTAAAAAAGGAAGCATAAGATCGTTTTTCCTTCAGGAATGAATGCAACCGTTCGATGCGTCTCATCCTAATAATCCAAATGAAAAAAGTTTTCAGAAATGACAATACCAATATGAGAGGAAATAACTTTCAAACTTTTGAAACAAAAATACCAAAACTTGGGTTTATTTTTGATTACAGATCAAACACTTGCCCACTTTACAATAAATATATTAAACATGCTGCATGCATTCCATCAAATTAATCACTTGCCGCGACCACGGCCCCCTCTGCCTCGGGTTGTTGCTTTGCCTCGTGCACTTTTACCTTCAGTAACAGAAACTTTGACATCGTTTAGAAAAAAAAACATACCTGTGTTTGTGATCACCTTGGCTACTGCTTTCTCCTCTTCTTCCGTTTCTTCCTCATCATTATCCTCTTCATCTCCCAAACCTCGTTCAACCAGATTTCCTTCCTCATCTATTTCCAGCTCTAAGAAACAGAAAAATTTGAGAATTATCCAAGCCAACAGTACCTGTAGATCCAGCAACTTTCTTTTTCTTTCCTTTGGTGATATCCTCAGTAGCGTATGGGAGCATTCTCGAACTCTTATTCAAAGCTCTTGTTAAAGCTGATTTGACCTGAAAGTGAATTTTATTGGGATAAACGGTTCGAATCTTTACCTTAGATTGTATTTTCGCAGCAGGATCAGTTCTTCCTGGCCAAACTGCTAGTTCCGCAATAGCTTCGGAATCATCCTTTATAAGATCGTATTCTGTCATCACATCAATAACCGCTCTGCAACAGTGTTGTACTAAAAGCTACAACAAATGATCTTACTGTACGCCATTGGACTCTTCTGTTAACAATGGTTTCGTCAATCGATCTCGCAGTACAGGTACATAATCAGTAACGAGCGATTGGGTATTGGCTGATACTCTGCAATATACAATTAAGAAAAGTATTGATAGGATCATGAAAACTTTAACTGAGCATGAGAAGCTAACTGTCTCATCATTCTTTGTCGTTTGTTGGCAGTTGAGTTTTTACCAAGCCATGCCGGGAACTGAATCATGGCTTTGAGATGACCTCCCACAGCAATCGAGGGCAGTGCACATCCAAGCATACACTATATTGTACTTAATAGAAAAAGTGAATACGAGAAAAATACCTGTTCATTCAATAACTTCCAGGCTCCTGTTGTTCTGAGGCATTTATCGGCAACGTCACCATATGATATAAGTTCGGCTGCTTTTCTCAATCCTCTTATAGCATCAAGATTTCTGAAATAAACAAGAAACATAAACACACATAAACTCACTTACTTATGTTTCTCATTCTTCATGTTAGGATAGTTCTCATGAACGAATAATGGCATGATATTATAGTCCACAAAGAACATCTCCTGTTTTTCAGTTAAACTAGCACGAGAATCCAGTAATCTTCTAGCAGCATCGAAAGTATTCTGATATAAATTGAAAATAAGTTAGCTGAATGTTGAACTTAACTATAGCGCAATCCTTCTTTTGGAGTTCACTGCCACTACTCAATCCTCTGATTTGCAGATTATAGATTGTCTGTCGAACATCATGACCTATTACAATAATCGTAAGAAGAAGAAAAAGACAAATTACCGGATAGCTCGATAATTTCATCCAATTCTTCCTTGCTGACCTTTATCTTTTCTTGACAAGCAATAGTCATAATTCTGCTCTACAATGGGTAACATTTTATTTAAAAACTCAACGAAGGATCAAACTCGTATCTGCTCAACTCTCGGCTTAGGGAACCTTAGATCAAAGCAATGGTTAGAGAGAGATCTGATTTTAGGATGGGATCTGAAAGGTCGAATTAATAACTTATAGTACTTGAATGGAACTACCTGTCGTTACAAATGCAAATGATAGGAATTTTGGTATCTTTGATAATTTGAATCAACTCCGCTATCTCAAAACACGAAGAAGATCATTAATCAAGAAAAACGGTAGCTTACTCCTGCACGATCCTCGTTTCCACTCATACCGTCAACTTCATCCATTACCAGCACATGATGAACTTTATTATCTTCAGCATGAATATCACTGTTCTTCTTTCCAAAATACTCTTCAATTTGATGAGAGCCAGTTAATTGAGCAATCTAAGAAAAGTTATGTATAGAGCTATCCATGTGTTATTCTTCCTCACCTGGGCCTCAAGATGTTTCTTGTTACGAACATCAGATGCATTCATTTCAACAAACTTTAAACCGAGACTCTCACAAGCCAAATGAGCAGAAGAAGTTTTACCGACTCCTACAAAGTTCAAAACTAGATCCCAAGAATAAAATGAACATACCTGGAGTTCCCGATAGTAGTGCTGCTTTGAATGGTGTGCCATCAGTTTGAGTAGCGAAAGGACTAGGTTTGGCTTGAAAGGTATGCCATTGTTTATTAACATTATTCGAACTTACGTTTTTTTATTTTAGCACCCTCTCCTAGGTTGTGTTTGGGCCATTCTTTCAGCCAGTGCAGTAACTTATTCAATGGACTTTTTTCACCATGTTGGCCAACAAGCTGAGCCAACGATTTAGGACGATACTTGTCGACCCAAGGAACATCAACTGCAGAATCAACCTTAATCAAATGATGTGTCGTGGAACTTGAAAACCGCTCACCTTTTTCGTTTCACTCTTGGAGGATTCTCTTACAACATCCTTTCTGGTTTCCGTTGAAACTTTCTGTTTTTCACCCCTTTTTGTTACATCTTCCTTGGCAAGTTTGCGCACATCAGAAGAATTTTCTTTCTTGTGCTCCTTTAACACTTCTTTCTTATGAGGCGAACGAGCAATAGTTTTCTCAATTTTTTCCTTCTTAAGCTCTGGTTCACTTATCGTCTTCGCTTTCTTCGGTCGTTCTCCCGAACCTACGTAACATGTGACATCAAGGAGAGCGAAAGCGCAAAAATATACCTGTGGAAGAGTTAGGTCGCTTGGGAGCCATAGATTTTCTCAAAGAGGAAGGTATAGGTGATTCCCCGTCAGCTGAAATAAAGTTTTCTATTATCGTTATAGTTTGATTTACGTACAGTCAAGTTCTAATACAACATCGTCAACATTTACATTACGTACACTTGTTGTGTTCAATCGATCGGATCTTTTTTTGTTGGGTTTTGATCTACTGGGACTTTCTTGTTGTATCTCTTTCCTAATGGAACTGAGGACGCTAGTATTTGGTGTTGAGTATTTCTTCGAACCCTGCTTAGTAAAGTAACTTTTGATATCCTGAAAATCCAAAATGCATCATTTCGTAGTTGAAGCCTTGTAAGCTCTTCTTGCTCAATTTCTATTCTAAATTTGGTCTGAACGTACCATTCTCTCCAAGAACTTGTAACGATGATTTCTTTGAAACAATGAACCGATAAACAGATTCAAAATTTGAAAATGAAGATTCTTCTCCGTGCGAGACCCATTAGGCTCCGCCCTTCACGCCTGGCTTCTTTTCCAAGCTCGGACGTAGCACGTCTCTAGCTTGGCTAGTATACTCTCTGTGAATCTTCATCGTTCTGATTATTTTTTAGAATTTTTTAGTCATTTTGTTTCAGAGTATGGGTAAATTAAGACTTGATTTCCTTACTCTAAAAAGGATTGCAACCTTATTGAAATTATTGTTTCCGTTAAAGAAGAATGCTAAAACTACTTGGCTAGCATTTATTGTTTTAATAACAACTGTCTTTGGTTAGTTTTTTTTGCAAAAAGCTAGTAAAAGTAGGAATATGCAATAATTAAGATCAAATCACAACTTATTTTGTTGGAATATTAGCCAGTGAATTCTATGTTGTGCTTGGAAACAAAAACTTTACGGGTTTCAGGCTTTTAGCCGCTAAAGCAACTTTGATCATATTTCTTAAAGCTCTGGTAAGTTGATGCGGCTTGAATGTCTTAAAGCTTATTTTGCAGACTCTTTCTTTAATTAAATATTTTTCTGCTCTACTAGCGATCCGTTGTCGAGAGATAAGCAATTATACTCTTCATCGGCTTTACTTTAAAAGACAAGCATTTTATAAACTAACTCTGGCTTCGGATGCTTTGGACAATCCGTAAGCATAACTGTTTTTACTTTTCCTACAACTTATTCCTCATTAAAGAGATCAGCGAATGACTCAGGACGTTGATAAAACTACTCAAATTTTATGTACTGATTTGATGGGACCCGTTGTCATTGCTCCTTTCACAATAATTTATTATTCCTACTTAACATTCCAAAGGTGTTTTGTACCCGTTTATAGCTGATTTCTCATCTTTTATCTTCAGTTCTGGATGGCTAGGACCTCTGACCATTTATATATATTTTCTTATCGTGACTATTGTCAACAAATTCCTCATTTCGCCCATAATTGGCTTGGTGAATGATCAGGAAAAGAGAGAGGGAGATTTCAGGTAATGAGCCACTCTTAATAGTCAACTTTGACAAATTTGCCGTATGTTTCAGACAGAGACATATGGAAGTACGAACGAATGTTGAGTCTATTGCTTTCTATCAATCCGGGCTATTGGAGAATGTGTTGTCAAACCAAAAATTGAGAACTCTACTGAAAGCCCAAGTATAGTCGAGAACTTATTGAACAATCTATTTCCTTCTGTTTATAGAAGAAACTGGCTGAATGGCGTTTTGTTTTATCTTTGGTAACTGGTGCTTTCGAATATTTCGGTGGAATTCTCTCTTATCTAATTATTGGAATCCCCATCTTTATGACACATGCCTATGATGATATTGAAGGAACAGAGTTGAATGGCATAGTGTCCAGAGTATGAGTTACATACTATTTCGTCGTTATACTACCTTATTTAGAATGCTTTCTTCTATCTCTATCTCATTTACTGTTTTACAAACATACTCAGTCTCTCTGATAAGATTGGAAATTTCGCAGGATTAACTCACAGGCATGTCAAAACACAAAGGGCCGGACGTTCTATGGAGTCATTTTTCAGAGTTGTTGAACTGTTCGATGAGCTTCGACGTTTACATTCTGATTGTTTGGAAACTGATCGTCCACCATCCACTGTTCCATCAAGTGTAGTTGTAATTGCATCCGATGACGATGAAAAAACTAACACTGCCCGTACTGTGAGTTGCAATTGATCGGACTGATTGGTCACAGATGAGGTTTAAGATTGAAGAGTTGCATGGCAAGCAGCTTTCTCTGGAACGAGATTGTGATGATGAAGAGGAAGCCCAGTTTTTGTTGGGTGGTCGAGTAGACCGAGAGGAAGATTGCCCTGATGATGGCGTTGCAATAACAGTTGATTCGGCGTCTTTAGCCCCAGCTAATGATCCTTCCAATGTGATCGTTTCTTGTGCGTTTAACCTTTTTCCTTTGATCAATCTTATCGAACATTCCAGGTCTATCCATTCAGCTATTGCAAGGACAGAATGTTCTTATCACCGGTGATAGCGGAGCTGGAAAAACTTCTATATTCCGGATGTTCGCTGGGCTCTGGTATGCATCCTCTGGTATGGAAAATTTCTCTGGAAAAATCATTTGAGGAATGTATTTAGGAAAAGTTGACCGACATTGGAAACTCCGATCCTCTAATTTGTTGTTTGTACCGCAAAAACCATACTTTCCATCAGGATCTCTAACCCTTCGTCAACAACTAGTCTATCCCATCAAAGCTCTTCCAGTTGAAAAAGGTTTTTGTTGTTCATCATAGAAATCATTATGCATCCAACACATTGTTAGATCTTCAACGTTTGACACAAATACTGGAATGGGTTAAAATGGAACATTTAATAGATCGATGCAAAGGTTTCGATACTCCTGTGGATTTCGACTGGTATTCAATATCTTGTTTACTCGATAGTCATTGGTCTGTTGCAGGTCGGACACGTTGTCCCCTGGCGAGTTGCAACGATTATCGTTAGCCAGAGTTTTTTATACAAAACCAAAGATTGTTTTCTTGGATGAGGCCACCAGTGCTATAGGCTTCGAAATGGAAATGCAGCTTTACAGATCTCTCCAACAGGTATATTTCACCTGCCTTGCATTACTCAAAAGTGTTATTTTGAAGGAAAACATTACTTATGTATCAATTGGTCATCGATATTCTCTGAAACAGTTCCATGATATGGAACTCAAAATATTAGGACGTGGGGAATGGACCCTTCATGACATTGATACCGTTTCAGTTGCTAGTAGGACGGCAAGTATTCTTGGTACAGACACTGTCCTTTCATTCTAGTCAGAACATACAGTTACTGCTAAGCTTCATCTTGAATCTCATTTATTTATCATGACAGTAAGCTAGAGACATGTTCTCAAATATTTTCGAACTTACTATAATTTGTTAACTTAAGTTATTTCGTATATGCCTTTAAAGCTATCTACCGAGTGCGTCTGATCTTTGCATTTTGTATATATATATATTTCCTTGCTTTGTATATGTTGTTTATCTTGCCTATCGTGGATGGGTATTCAGTCTGAAGTGGCTTTATATTCCATACATGTTGCTGCGCTTTAATCATGGTGCGTTTTGCTAGGTTGCCTCAAGTTTCCTCTCTATTACTCGACCCAGATGTATCATATCTATCCTCAGCTACACGTGTGTTGTCTTGTACATATTTTCAAAAAAAAATATTTTTTCACATCATGTTCTCACGATAAGCACAAAGACTATATCGCAGAAGAGATACATAAACTATTAATTCTTCGAAGTTTTTCCGAATGTGGTCATAAGGCAATCTGCTGATTCACTTTTATCAACCGAAGAAGTTCAAATCATGTGGTTGTGTTGTGTGATCTGTAGAATAACGATGACGGAAAATGTGAGGAACGCAGCATGTTCTTAGATTTAGCGAAGAAAAGTTTGTACGCCCTAGCTTGTTTTGTTATAGCGAACCTGCTGATGAAAACTAGATACTTTTCTTAATCTCCTCTCTGCCTTGCCAACGTGTAAGGCACCCTTTCCTAAATAATAATATTCATAAACTGAAGCTCATGGAACTGGTATGGATACGGAAATAGAAAAAAGAACAACCGGTCCGCGTGTCGATGCCATGCAAAGTAATTTCAAAGTTTTGACGTGTGTTTCACGTACAAATAAACATAAATTCTCCGTTCGCCTTTCCGGCGCCAAACGAACAGATTTGAAAATATAACATATCAGAAGATACTTGAGAATATATGTAAAGTAAGGTAACGAGGATTGTAAATAGTCAAGAATACAACCGTATGTGAATATTATGATGAACATGCACTACATATAATGCCATTGGTAGAGCAATGATCACTTGTTAATTTGCCATAACAAAGAATTTATTTTTAAAATTTGATAGATTTTCAAAGTTCCCAGAAGATGATGTACTAACGGTACAAAACACTTATTTTGGTAATAGTCCTTATTATTCTTATATTTCAATCGAACTTTCAAACTTATCAATCAATCATACGCGACTAAACGCAGACGTATAGAGAAGAGTTGTTGTGATAATTCGGCCAGCTATCATAAATCATAAAATGTTCAAAGTATTTTTTCGTGAACTCTTAATATGCTTGAAAAAAACTTTTCAAACCTAAGTTATGTTGGATCATAAACTTATCGTTTCTCAAGCTACTATCATATTTCACTTCATTCTTTAACTTCTCGTTTGGTGGTTTTACAACGTGTTGGTCCAGCGAGATGTCGTTATGCCATCATGGTTAAAACGGTATTGATCTTAGCTGGTTCGCCAACAGTCTAATGCTACTTTTGCTAATGATATTGATAATAGAGAAGAAACATGAAAATAGGGATGACGATAAGGAAGGAAGCAGCACAGAAGATCATGGGGCTTGATGGGGCGGAGAGCGTGGTGAAGACGATGATGAAGGCGACGACTACGACTTCGACGACGTTGCCTGGTCTTTAGAACATGATGGACCGAGAGACATGTGAAGAAAAATATCACAAATTGATGAGAGATTGATAGAATTCTGAAGGAAACGACGTATATGAGTGATCATAGAGTGTTCGCCCGTTTCTCGATGACGACGGCCACCATCTCAACGTGATAGGCTTCAGAATGCCGTCAGTTGCACAGCGAACCCACTATTCATTTCGCTCATTGCGTTTTTCCAGATCGGTTCTCTGTTTTGTAGTTTAGGTAGTGTGTATCTATATATGTATATATAAGATGTTGTTCTCTGTTTGAGTCTTAATATATTAGATATAGTAAAAACAACTTCACCTTACTCTTCCTAGGATATACTGACTGACCCGCCTACTCACCGCCAACAGATTGGCCGATATTATCTGTGGACCATTCTTGAATTAGTAGCTGAGCTCTTCTTTCGACATCCAGTATTTCTATTTCTGAAGTACATACTGCAAAGAAGAATTTGTCTCTACATCACGTTCATCATCATCATCAGTACTGAATATGGCTGTACTCGATTTCGTCGCCGGTTGCTTCGGAGGTAAATATTTCCATTATTCTTCTTCTTTCTTTTCTCTTCTCGCTCAAGTCTTAATAATAATTAAGAAAAGTATGATAATGAAAATTGAGAACGAAAAATGAAAACAGAAAGTATTTTCAAATGTCAATTCTTGCTTCCTTCTTGTTCCTCTCGTGAAGAACGAATGTCACGAGCTTTGCCTCTTTCACAAAGAAGTTATCAATTTCAATAATTACTTCGAGAATGGAGAATTCTTTTTTTGTTCTCACAAATCGAAAAGTTTCGTCCGAAATCACAAAATTGTGGTTCGGTCAATAAATCTTCTTCACTTGTTCGATCCGTAAGAAGATGAAAGTCTATTCTTCTATAAGTTTTTCCAATAAAAAAAACTTTTATAGAAGTTGTCTTCATTTATTTCAAATAATTTTAAGAAAAAAAAGGATAGATGAAAGAGAGAGAGAGAGAGAGATCGAGAGAATCGAAATTTTTTTTCCAAAATTCTGAAATTCCAGGAGCTGCGGGTGTTCTAGCAGGACATCCACTTGACACAGTCAAGGTTCGCTTACAGACTCAACCACAGGTGGGATTATTGAGAATATTCTCAGCACAAAAAACAAAATAGAAAATCTAAATAAAACTCGAAACTATAAAATGTTTTTTATAAATTTAGATTCTCGTCCAGATGAAGAAATTATTTTTATTATTTTGCAGGGAAGTGCAGCAATCTATCGTGGCACATGGCATTGCTTTAGGACAATCATTCATAAGGAAGGGTTTCAAGGATTGTTCAAAGGTAGAGTCTATTTTTAAGATTTTTATGCCAAAAAAGAAAGAAACTAAAGAAATTTGAATAATGATTAGCTGATAACGGTTAAAAACAGTTTGGATTTATGACGTCAGGTTAGGATAAATGATTTATAACGGGTCGAGTCCATTTACGATGACCACCTGGCTGATGTCTCGGACAAATATGGCGAATCCTCTGAAAACCACCCGATTAGAATAGATCAGCTTTTTCACCTTGATCACTTGCCAAAAGCACAATAAGATGAAATGATAGGTGAAGTTACATTCCATTGAAGTACTCTGAGATGTTTGTCTACCATTGACAGCAAGGGTAGTTTTCCATTGTCCTTAACTAAGATGTGTGAAGTTCATGTAAAAACTGTTCATTTGATTACAATTGATCATTCTTTGAGTTTTTGCATGTTGCTTCTGCCGTTAAAAAGTCAGTCAAAACCATTTTCTGCTAGCAAAGTGAGAAATTCAGAACATACAGCTTAAAGGATCTAGCAAATGATTCTGCAAGTTCCATATACGTCGTTTCTTTTCATTTCAACGCCAGCTACGTCTTTCTATGATATAGATTGATAATAAATGGCTTGGTCAATTGAATGTGACAAGTGTCTTAAAGCACACATTGTCTACACATTTGCCAAGCAGCTAACAACAGGACTTAGTAGGAGTTGCACGGAAATGACGAGCATGGAAGTTCTTGAAATTGGAGCAATTATGAATCATTTCAATTTTTTTATCTCACACCTTCTTGAACCGATTGACTCACACATAGTGTCTGTACCACTTGATTCTTCTTTCGCCTAACAACATGATGATGATGATCATCATCGTCGTCGTCCTCGCTACGTCTTATTCCGATTCCTATCAAAGCTATCTATCACTCTCATAACCGGGACAGCATTTGTGGTTTTCTCAAATACTAGAGAAAAGGTTGTCAGGTTGGACTGGACGAGAAAAAACAGTTATTTCAGGTTTCCGATGGTATCGAAATAGAAAGTTCAGTTGTAACTTTTAAAAGCATTTGAAAGTATATTTGAACTCTTCGAGCAAAAAAAAACTGGAAAATTAAATAAACAATTCATTGATGTTCTTATAGGATTGTCATCACCTTTAGCATCATTGGCTGCCATCAATGCAATTGTTTTTGGAGTTCACAGGAGTATTACAAGGAAATTCGAAAACCCAGATAGCTTAAGAGCACACTTCTTTGCTGGATGTGCTGCAGGATTAGCTCAAACAGTCATAGGTTAGAATGATCTGACGAGATTCTCCAAACTCATCTATATGATTCTCCAGCTGCCCCATCAGAACGCCTGAAGTTGTTGATCCAAATTCAAGCAGACTCAGCACACACTGTTTATCGTTCCCCCTATGATGCTGCTAGGAGCTTGATTCAACAACACGGACTTCGCACCATTAACAGGTATACAACTCGGTCAAAACTGGATATATTCTATTTTTTCTAGAGGCTTCTTCATGACATTAATTAGAGACTCACCTGCTTTCGGAGTATACTTTGCTTCTTACGAATGGATGACAAAACGTATGAGTAAAGACGGGAAGATGAGCTCTCTCTCTGCCCCACAGCTTTTATTTGCTGGAGGTTAGATAACTAAACATGTACAAAGCTTATAATTGGTTTTTAGGAGCAGCCGGAATGATTTCTTGGTTAGTAACCTATCCCACCGATGTCATAAAAACGAGATTCCAAGCTGACACCTCATATAAAAGTTATATGGACTGCATATCGCACACATACAGAGATAGAGGTCTCCGTGGTTTCTATGTTGGACTCGGCTCAACTCTCATAAGGTTTATATTTATATTTTCTGTTTTTATTCATCGATTGATGGTTAAGAGCTTTCCCTTCAAACGCCGCCACGTTCTTCACAGTTGAATGGACATACCGTCTCATGTTGGATTTCAATGTAGTTGGAGTAAAGACAGAAACAGAACGACAGGTAATCGACAGGCAGCAGTCATCAGTTATAAACTTGTTTTTAGATATTAAGAGAACATCATTCGCATCGTATAACGGACCTTTGGAACTTAAACCATATGCATTTCCTACCAGAAGCCGGCTCCACATCAATAGATCCAATGATTCATGGATGTCGGTTTCTATAGAAATGCCTTCCTCTGAGTTACGTGTATGAACAGTACAGTGATTGGTTTCACTTCTGTTTCAAACGTTGTACGGGTTTTTCTCAATTATCTCTGATTACGTCTCCGTCTAAGTTTATTTCAACATTGGATTTCTACGAGAATAATATGAGAAAATCAAAAATGAACAAAATCTGGTCAAAAAAGAAGATTCTTTCATGTTCTCAAATGATATTTTGTTGTTTTTTTTTCTTGTTGCAGAAACTCTTCCATACATAGTACTAACTATCATCTCTCCCACCTTCCCCATATTTCTCATTCTCATTCTTCACTTCATATATTTCCAATCTACTTGACGCGTATGGAAAGATTTTTGAATAATAAGCTGTGTTCTACCAAATAAAGAATATTTTTATTTTCAATTAATTTATTATTACATAATACATAGTTAATTTGAATATCACAGTAAAAATAGAAAAAATAATTATATACATATAGATATATACACTGATGATAGTTTCAGCTTAATAAGTAGTCGACACTGAACTTCAAAGGCTTACATGGCTTAGGAGGACAGCTGTGTCCAGCCAACAATGGTGGAGGTCCAAAATCATCTTCATCATCAGAATATTCCATAGAATCATCGAAAGGTAGTTCTGCTGTCAATACTGGTGGTGGTGTCATGAGATCTCTTAAAATATAAGTAACTTTGTGTATAGATGATTGTATCTTACCTTTTAGGGATATTCTCTGTGAACCTGGGAGATGACGAAGGTGTAGAGTGCAGATATACCTAAAGAAATTTATGTTTTAGGAATGTTGGTTACAATATGTTCCTACCTTATCACAGGTACTCGGAGTATGATTGAAATTGAAGTAAAGAGGATATTGGAAATTTGTGTATTGTGGAACTCCATGTGAGACAGGTGAAAGACTGACCGGCGATGGAGTACAGAAGAGATTTGGTGAATCTACAGTGGAGATTAGAAATGATAGTTGTTAATGTTTTCACTCACATGTGCCTTGTCTCATTCGTTGGAAGCCATTCATAAGAGATCTATGAGATGTTGGTGTTTCGGGTGTCTGAAAGTAATGAATTTAGTTTGGAAGATAAGTAAGACTTTACCATAAACACTGATGAGACTGGGTGATGAACGAATGACGTCATTACTGGACTGAATTCCATGATCTTATTTAGATTATAGAATATCTTAGATACACTGCCACTAAGAACACTGAGCTCAGACGAGAAGCTTCCTGACACGAGTTCTCACTTCGCTCTTTATAAAGCAAAAGTGTTCATAGCTAATGGCATTTATGCTTGTTACGGTGGGAAAGTGTTGTTTCTACTTGTAAAAAGTTCATTTTTTATCTCTTTATACAGCATAGTAATGAACTTGGGCTGTTCACTTATCAATTTGTTTTACGGTTTCCCTTTGTATATCTCTTAAATCTCAGATTTGACAAAGTTGTGAACAGTCTTCACTCATCTACTCATGCCTCTCACACCTCTGCTACTGTTGAGCCACCGTATCACTAATTAGCATATATTGTCTAATCGCTCCACCCACTTTTCAAACTCTCATTTTCTAATCGACAACAGTACAGAGCGGTTGCATTGATCTGCTATGATTTCTTGCCTGTCTTCTATACCTGTCATGCTCAAATTGCTTTGATATCACATAGTTAAAAGATTATGAAAAGGTGTTCTTATCATTAACCATGCATTTTACCATATGGTTAAATATTTTACCTTTATGCTTCTTTCTTTCAACCCTTTTACTAATTCTTCCATTGCCCATGTCTGTTCTGCCGTCTCTTGAAAGTGATGAAACGGCCAAATATGTTTCAGTTTTTTCATTCATTTCCCCTATTACAAGAACTGCATATTGTGTTATCGAGCGAGGATTATCAAAAAATGGTCATCAGTTACAAATTCCTGCCAATAAAAATAGGCAACAAGAGAAGGAGAGAAGAAGAGTTTCCCGAAGAAAGATAGAGAGAGATGGAGAGAGATAGAGAAATAGATGATGAGAGCGGAAGAAGTATTGGGCATGCGCGGGAATTAACACATATGGTATGACTAGCAAGAAACGGCACAGGTTCTCTCTTATCATCAGCTGATCTTTCTTGGCTCAACCAGTTGATCTTATTTTACATTTTACATTTTACTATCGGATTGCTCTATTATCGTATGAGTATGAAACAAGTTGAATATCAACCAGTAGGATCTTCTCCTCATACTCTATACGAAAACAGCAAAATGAAAAAATATATTTGTTGCCATTCGTCTTTTTGCGCATAAAAATCATTTCTTAATGTGGACTCGAAGGAAACGAGGTCAATTATGAACATATTATCATCTGTGTGTGTGTTTCTCTTCGTCGTTTCAATTTCATCGGGTGAGAATGTGACAAAGAAAGAACATCAGCCTTTTGCGGTTCTAAACAGTACATCTTTCTTGATTTAAAGTAAACTCAATGATTCCTTTCGTAAGAGCAAGTACAACTGTACTTATCTTGGCGAAGTTGCAAAGTGAATGTGTGACAGGGAGAGAATCTCGTTCAAATCACATCCTATTAGCTGTTATAAATTAATAAATTCGTATTCTTGTGGTCACTTAAACTAGATTTCCATTGCTTAAATCAGTGAGAAACAAGATTATTGTGTCATTTTGGAGAATCTCAAGATGTTCGCGTATTATACATCGTCTTCATTAAGTCTCGTATAAATAAAGAATTTTCGAAAACACGAAGGCGCACCTGATAAACTACCAGATGAGATTGGTTAGAAAATTCGATTCTCTGAAGATGCTGCTGAAAACTTCTTCTATTATCAATGTTTAATGAAGCAATCTCTTTTTGATGATCAACATTCTTCTTCCTACCACACACGAGGTGGGTAGGTGCTCTTCCATCTCCTGACAAATTTAAAATTCATTTGACCTGTACTGTTGCAGGGAGCGGTTGCGTTTTCCTCTCACTTTCTCTTCTTCTCTTGGGTTCTCCTCGTTGTTCACCTATTCATTTCATATAATTATAAGATTGCTGTCGTATATCCATAGAATGCTATTAGTCTTCACGAAGGTTCTTTCAAACTAATTAAGCTGTAAAATCGACCTCTTTATTCGGAAACCGAATACCAGTGACTTGAGATAAGGAGAGTAGGATGTTACATTCACAGTGTGAAATACCTCCACAACAACTCTACCGATAACTATTCTCGTTTAACGCATCCGTACCATTTGCAGAAGATGATTCCTTTTTTCCGTTTGAATAACATTGATTGAAATTAAAATGCGAATGTTATTGGATTGGAACTGGTCGAATTCCGGACTGACCTCGAACTTTTTATTCTGTTTGTTGTGCTGTATTGTGGTTAGAGTTTCTTCCTTTCTTGGCCAATTTTTCTTCTTCTCAACCCTAACCATACAGAGTTGTTCACAAAAGAACTTCCAGCTGTTTGTTTATTTTTCTCACGTGTGAGTGGTTCCCGACTTTGGCATTGTCTCAGAAGAAGAGACAAATGTGTTTTTGAATTACCACCAAAACATCTGAAGAAGTTTGTCAAAAACGAATCTCAATCTCAGGTTTTTTTCTCTTTTGTTTTCCTTCCTTATACATATCGCTGTTAAGTGCTGTTATACTAACGATTTCTCTATCTTTAACTAAAACTATTATTTTCTATATCATTCACACTAACCCTACGTTCATCATCTTCATCACCCGTCCCTCTCCTACATGGCAAGCCATGAAAGGAAACAGGTCTTACATGTCGTATGTTCTTCCGTCATTTGTCCGTCTAAAGAATCTCGTACTCTTTAATGTTTTTCTTCTTTCTCATACCATCGGTGACCACCTGAATTACATCATTAAACAGATTACTCCAAATAGAGTGTGTGTGCGGTTCTGATTCTGAAGTCCTGCCTATAAAGCTTTCTACGCTTTCCTGAAGAAACCTTACTGCTTCCCCACCATGCATGAAATGATTAAAGCCGAGCCGTTTTCGGAAGAAATTCTGGAGAAGGCTGCAGAGTTAAGGTAAGCCGATGTTCTTCAAAATGTTTCTAACCATTTTAACAGAAAAATCTTCGATATTCCTGCAGCTCTTGACTCTCCATTCTTCATTGCAAGATTTCTGAGCGCCAATAATGGCAATGTGGATGTCGGTAAGTGAAAGACGTGTATGCTCTTTCAATGAACATGCTTAAGCCAAAGAAAGATTATTGGAGTACTTGATTCATCGTAGTTGCTTACGCTACGGGGAATACGATCAGTTGGGTATATTCAATGAGATTCCTATCGGGAAAGAAACTTTCGAGGTAAATATTAGTATCGGTGAAATGTAATTTATCAAGTAACAGCGTTTCAACATCTCTTTGGTCGAACAGAATCTTGTTTCTAATAATGTTCACGTGTTCGTTCAAAAGTTGGAGGGAACAGACCTCAATCAGGTTTGTGAGAGTACAAAAAGCCCTCACAGAAAGATATTTTCTCAGATTATAAAAGTTTTACCTCTGTCACATGTTATTCACTCTTACTTCCTCCTTCAAGATGTCTTCGGACGAGTTGTCGCAAACACTGAAAAAAAAACTGGTGCGTTCGTAACATATGAGCCATTCAACAAAATACCTTTACAGGAAAACCATCATCTGTTGTATGTATTTTGGATTTGCAGGGCTTGAACATTTCCGAGTTCATCAACCCGCTATCACCGCAAGTAAAACTTGCTAAAACTGTCGTGAAAGTTTGGGCAGATTATTTTAGTGAAAACGTAAGAGCTTGAAATCCAGCTGAAAAAATGGGATATCATTCTTCCTAGATGTGTAAAATTCTTATTATTAATCCACCTGGAATAGTGTCCCTCATGTGGAAAATCACAAAGTTCATTATGGATCCCCGTACTCTCTCCAGAATCTCCTTCTTGAACTCACCAGAAGATTTAAAGCTTTATCTTGAACCACAGGTTGTACTTCCTATCGCACACATTGTAACATTTCCAAATTCAGGTTATCCCACAACAATACGGGGGAACATGGGTTGATAATAGCGGTTACTCAAAACCAGCTGAAGGATGTTGCCGAGAACCTCTTGCCGTTCTTCCCGCACATTTGAAACAAGTAATACCCACACTGTCAAAAGTTCAAGCATTTGTTGTTTCAGTCCGATTACATTTGGAGAGATAATGGATATGTACAGCCACCTGCCAGTAAATCTTTGAACGTGAAAGGCAGGGAAACCCTTGAAATAATAAAGTAACTTACAACTATCATTCACATGCAATCCTATATGATTGAAGGAAGAGCGCATCTCCAGGAAAACTGTTGTGGAGTTTCACTTCTAGTGGCGACATCAATTTTGAAATTCTTAAAAGAGAAAGTGGAAAAGAAAAGCACGTGTGGCCCAAAATCACCATAGCGTCATTGAAGGTAAGTGTAGACACCATAACAGCATCCTCAATGCCACCTTTCCAGTTACCTGAATCAGGATCAGTAGATGTAGACGAGGGAGAATATATTATTCGTTTCACCAACCCAGGATCAACCTGGTTCCCAGTGAAAATCCACTGTTCTTCCGATATCAAGCCAGAATAAACTGTACATATTTATATAAAATGAATAAATTTTATTTCTTCATAGAATATAAAGTGACAACAATAACAGCAAAAGTATAACAAGAAGTTAGTGATAACCATACTTACTTTCAAAAGCTTCTGGTTTCTGTTTCATTAGTTTCTCAGACTGTTTCTTTTCCTTCTTGTCCAAGTATTTCGACAGTCTATTCTCTTGTTTGAGTTGGTCATATTTCTTCTCCATAATCTTCTTCCTCACATCGGCTGAAAAACAGTGATGGTTCCAACATCCCAGCTTCTTCGTTTACCTTTAGTCTTGAAGATCGGCTTCTGTCCTTGCATCATTCTATCAATATTCTCTTGTCGCAATTCCTTAATAGTATCATTCTTGAGACGCTTCTGTTTTTGAGCCCTCTCTTGAGTTTCTAATCGGTTCAACTTCTGAAAACAGAACTTTTGAAAGAATCAGAATATCCGAGCTCACATCTGCATACTCTCTGATATCTCTTCCAGCTTCCACATTCTCTCGGATAGTTTTCCGAAGATCCTGCAAATAATACAGTTGTTATATACTCCTTAACTTGAAAACACAGCTTGGTTGCAACCGCTCCGCAGTTACTAACAGTTAAGAATGCACACTGCGTTTAGCGTTACGTGGTGAAGCGAACTACATGATACAAACAAGAAACAACTCAAGGAACTTGCCTCCTTCTCTTCCTTCCTAACATCATCCAAGAACCTATAGTTATCTTCGAAGCAGACTTCCTTGAATGTTCCAGCTCTTTCATCGAACCTTGGATCCCACTTTCTAGAACATAATTGGAGAATAAAGCGTTTCAATTTCGTTTCTCTCACTGTTTCGTTTTAGTATCCGGGTAAATATTTCTGAAAGCGGAAACCCTCTTTCTGGATGATACTTCTTTGGGCCGATGTTGACCTCTCTAGAAAACATCGATCATGAAATCAGTAAAGAAGATAGATACCTTCTCTGCAACATCTCTTTCAGAACTTCCATCTTCTTCAGAAAATTTTTTAGACTTTCCAGCTTTCTGTATTCCACTCTCTTCTCCAAAATAGGCTTTATTGAATAGCTTGATACCAAGTTTCTCTTTCATAGCGCGAACTTGGCTCAGGGGCATTTTTGACATATTCTTCCTAGCCTCCGCTTGACTGAGAGTTCCTTCATCATCTGACATCTGAGACAAATAGATATTAAAATGGCTGAAAGTGAAGAAAAAATGAATTTCATGAGCTATTGCGATCAACCACAGAAAAGCAAAAACATACAAGGATAAACGGTTTAACATCCGGTATAAAGTATAACACAGAATCATGAAACAAAATTTATTGAATAATAGTATTGGTAAAGAAAAGAGTTACTTCGTCTTTATCATTGTCTTCGCCTCAGCAATAGACTTACCTTCATCCCTGTCCAACAATCACTAGCTACTTTGACCATCTGAAACGAAGAATGTAACAGGCGTTTCATGAACTAAGTAATGAATTGTCAGTGGACACATTTGAAAGATGAAAACGATTGATAAATCTACATTCATTACTACATAAAGAAAGAATACAAAGAAAGTGCGAATGTTAATTGAGCAAGACTAAGGACTAGACTAACCCAGTTTTCCTCACAGGTTTAAGACAACAATGAAAGTTTAACCTCAAGTGAATATACATGAGGCACATAAGCACACGCATACAAATACCTGATTGCGCTACACATGACAATTTGGAACCCTATATGTACAGAAAGCCTTGAACAAAGTAATCAGGCATTTTAAAAGTAGCAACAATATACATATATATTACAAGTTTGAAACTTCAAACACCCATAAATGAGTTTGGTGGTTGATCATCAGTATGATCTTCAGCCTCATCTTCCTCCCGTTCATCATATGTAACGGTTGGAGCAACACGAAGGCGACTTTTTATTTCAGTATCCGTAGACTCTAAAGTAGAAAACATAACGTGAAGGAAGAAATTTAATCAGTACCTTCATTCTCTTCCCTAAGCTGAGGAACTTCGAACAAGCTCCTGCTCGGATTATTTACACTATATACACTAGCTCCATAAACAGAAGGAGCCATTACTTGTCTGGTTTCTTCATGCATTCCCCGTAAGAACATTGTTTGAACTCGTAAGTCTCCTCCAACAGAACTTTCCACTTCTGAAATCAGTTTAGATGAGGTTAACAGTTTTCTAACAATCTAGAACCTGGTCTTCTCATGCTGTCAAGAAGAGAGCCTCCATTCTTATTGAGTGAATCCCATAATTGATTGACTGGTCCATCCACTCGTGTTAGACCGTTTCCTGCAAGCAATACAGTATTAAAATACCATAAATATAATTCCTCACCTAATAAAGTTGACATATTTTGTATGCCAGGTAAGAGAGAGCTGACAGAGTCTCGGAGAATGTTCGACCTGCTTTCGTTCATCTCGGTTATCTCTTTGGTAAGCTATCAGAAAGAATATAACAAAGTCGAAAGAAAATTGCATACCCTGTCTTTGAATGTCCTGATGAACTGTTCAGTTGAGGGGGGAGGTACCCATTCAGGATTTGTAGACATGAAATGCAAGACTGACATTTCGGTTTTGCCATTGTAAGCATGAACATCTGAAATACCCAAATTAGTAACTATCAACAGGATGAAGAACTTTACCGTGTCTCTGAGATTGGTGAACACCACTCCAAGTAGGATCGCCGTGACGCGACACGTCAAGAAGAGCGAAGGAACAGACATCTCCCAAACCTTGTACAGATACTGTGTTTTCATGGAAGAACTGAATAATTTCCCTACAGCGTGGTTTGAGCCTAGAGGGAATGAGATCATTTCCTAATTCAAATCAATAACATTACTCACCAGAACATGAGAATGAAGGGAGTGAGGATGGGACTCAACAGCTCGTGAACTAAATACATCCACTTCAATTGGAAAAGCTCCATGAACTCATGGCGAACTTGATCAGTATGTGCCTAAAACATATTAATGATTTCAAAGCATATGAGCGAGATTCACGTTATTCTTCCATTCCACAGGTACATAATGAATCTCTGCAGCAACTCGGCTCAACAAACTTTCTGGTTGCCAGACAAGATTCTCATCGGGTATAAGACTGTTACAGAAGATGAAGATTCCTCCGCAAACAGCAATCACAGTAAGAACATGTTCTATCTGTATTATTCACTGAATGCCAAGAGAGCTACGATTAATAGTTTTACCTGAATAACATCTTCATCCCACATGGTCAATCCTCCCAAAACAAAAGCAATAGCTCCAACCATGAATCTCACATGAGTAGCAATGACCTGAATCTCTATCGTTTTCAAGTCAGATTAGATATATTACCTTCATAAGTGGAGAGAAGAATTGATTTACGTAAGCGTTAGCGAAGTTGTGGGATCTATTCAATCGAGCATCAAGCTCATGATTCAACTCGTTGAAATGTCTCAGGCGATATCTATATTAACAATGAGAAGAGAGTAGATAACACAACAGTACCTTCCAAAATTAGAATAACGTCTACTTCCGAGAGAGTCGGGATTCTTCTTTATCATTTCAGAAACGACACAGAAGGAATACAATATTTGATAAACAAAAATGAATGGAAATAGCACGAGGTTTATAGTACCATACCACATCACCTAAACATACATGATGTAACGTGGATGAAACGAAGAATGTACTTACATGTTTTTCCATTTGCGTAGTTAGTCTATCAAGGAAAGTGGAATCTTTATAATCATCTTTAAGACAAGGTCCATCCCATGGAGAAGTTGAGCTAAACATTTCATTCCAAACATTGAAATCTTATAAGGACTAACCTCAAGAACAAACAACGCTTTATATTGTATTTTAACCCGTTCGGTAGATACGCAGTTTTGCCTACATATGGTATATCGAAGACTGGGGGGAAAATTCTCTGAAAACTAATAATACAACATGTCCCTGACCATTTGATTACCTGATTCACAAAAGAGACAAAATAGTTTTTGAATCGAAGGATTCTATTATATACATCAACGGGATCAAGCACATCCTTGTTAATGGTTAGGTGAAGACGTGGTTGGACGGCGCATATTTGTTTCAAAACAGAATGCCAAGTTAGATTTAATAACTGGTGATCAGATATACCAAGGGCGCTTTCATAAAACATCCTTATCTGGAAAAATATCTTAACGCTTTCAATGAAAAACTCCGTACTTCATTCATTTGGAGAATATAGTAGATGGCCTTAACTACTCGAAGTATACAAAAAATGGTAGCGAGCAGCAAGCATAAGATAACTAGTGGGTGAAGGTGACTTGCACAATTCTCAACGACAACATCCTGTTAGAAGAGCTAAGTATGAATGAGATTTATGATAGTTTACGCTGAAATGTCTTTTTCCAGATATGGGCTGTCCGGTTGTTGTTATATTGACGTTGGCAAACATCACATCATAGTCTATACATTGCAAGAAAAATGTTGAAAAAAACTTAAAATCATATGTAAGATACGAATATCAAGAGATAACATACCACGACAAAGATAAATTGTAGAATACCCAAAACTTTGCGGGATGTTATGCACATAAAACCACCTCCTTGGTGATATTCATAAATTCTAGAGAAAAACTACAAAAAAGCATAAGTAAACTGTGAATTTCGAGGTAATCTAACTTGGTCTAAGTCTTCAATATGATCCCATCTTCTCTCATCAAACCTATTACTACTACTATCCATTTGAGGAGGTTCTAATGTCTGAGCGTTACCGCGCCCAGATCCATTATAGGAATCACGTGCGCCTGTTACGATCCTGGTAAAAAATAGGATGTACACGGAATATTAATCTTTTCTAACAGTGGTTCAGATTCTGCACCTCCAAAAAGTCTACTGGAGATGGATTGTGTTAAAGGAGTGTTAAAATTCTCCGGTATAGAATCTTCATAGGCATCGTCAATAACCTGTAGCATGGTATTCAAGAGATTGAAACTAGTAATGATAAAACAAACTTGATATGCACTCCTGTTTCGAGAAGAAAACATTAAGCTTCTGTTATTTAAATAAGCAGAAATGTGGCGACGTACAGTTTCCGAGGGTTATATGGTAAAGCAACGCTAGGACGCAAATCAGCTGACTAGACGCCAATTGTCATTACTAGTGGAGCGCACCTCGATACTCTAGCGCGCTTTTATCTAAGCTATTTATTGAATGAAACTGTATTCCTGTTAAATGACAATTTAATAGTTCTTTAGTTTTGAATCTTTCCGAACTACGATGGAATGCAACCGTTCTGTGGTACAAGTTGAAATATTCAAAGCTTTCTCTACTTCGTTTCCTAACTTGTTAAAAATCAACCAAAAAAAATTTATTACGAAAAAAACTAACAAGACTTTAACAAAAAAAATAAGAAAAACAATTAGTTAGGATAAATATGAGGTGAATAATATTAAACATTAATTTCACAATATTAGTGTTCGCGAATAACACTCAATGTTTCGTTAATTGCTTCAATCCATGCACACATGAATTCACGTGAATCCGCAGCCAAAACAATTCTGAAAACGGATCCATATTGTAAGATTTCTCTATATCATACCTCTTCTTTTCGATATTTGATGGCGTTGTGTTTACTAATATCTCAATACTGAACGTGTATGATCGAGCGCATTGGTCCAAGGTGCAAGGAGTAATTACGTCTTTAGTACAAGATTGAAGTTTCAAATAGGCTCTTGGTGGCTGAAATAACAGAATGATTTCATAAAAAGACACATATACTACTTTTCCCATAGCATCTTCATCTGGGTACTTCCAAAAATATATCGAGCCTCTACGTAGCACAGCCCAGTATCTTTCCCAAGACCCACCAGCGATAGATTGGTACATAGTCTATAGAAAATGAATTAAGAACATTAATGATTATCATCAAACCAAAAATCCTCTATAATCCACTTCAATAGCATGAGGAAGACTCGTACAAGACGATGTAACACTAATTGTTCCTTCTAGAGGATATTGAGCATCATCTAAGTAGAACTTCTCGAAACTTGTCGTTTCCCTGAAACCTCAGATATTCAAAAAAAAATCATGGCTGAACCTTACCTATCAAGTCTAAGGTAGCCACCTCGAACAAACTCCCCAACGGGTAGTCCTGTACTTGAATGAGCTTTCCTATCTGAAAACAAATTATGGGAAAAAAAAGTTTTTTCAAAAAACTACTTGGACCCAACAAATTCCTACATTTATTAGCAATTGTAGTCGCGCAAGAGTTCTCATCATTCTTCACTTCTGGTAGAACCTGAATAACTATAATTTTTCAGAAATCGAATTAATCTAACCATAACATATACTTCTAAGTCGACACTGAAATCAATTGGGAGGTTTTGGAAGCTGATTTTCTCAGTGAATTGAAGTTTGACAGGACTTTGATAGTTTATAAGCAAAGTTACTGGTACAGTAGCTTCGAGCTCACTGCCGCACTTCAACAGAACAACAAACACAAATGAAGAATCTTGAAAAAAAAAGTTGAGAGAACTATGCTTTCCGCTCACTATCAGTAACACGTTGAGAGATTCCACGATTTAAATTCAGAGTGATATTAGATATCGACATGGATCCTCTTAACTCATGATTGAGAAGGGGAGGTTGTTTTTTGAGCTGAATAGGGAAAACATGAGAAAACAACCCTGATTTGAAGACTTAGTCAAACCTGTAATACTGCTTGAATATTCTGAAGTTCTCTTTTCAAGAGAATAGCTCTCTGGGAAGCAATCAAAATACTACGCTGAGCAGTTACCTAAGCAAGAAGTTAGAAACTGGAGATCATTGTTTGGTAACCTCCAAAAGTTGCTTCTTTTCTTTCCTCGCTTTCAAAAGAGCTTTTTGAGTCATATCCATCTGTTCATGACACATTTCTAATTGGTGAACCAGTTTCTATAAAAGAAAAAGTCCAGATACGAAACTACAAACACTTACATTGAACTGTTTCTTATACTCGTTCATTCTCTCTTCATGACGACTTCCTTCAGATATACTGCTCATATATGATTCTTCAAGAGCAGGTGGAGCGCGATGAGTTGGACTGGATTTTGGAGTAGAAGCTACTAAATCAGCTGGGCGTCCCCCAAAACGATGAGCGCTAATCAATCCATAGTTCGATGCATTAGAATTCTGTGAAAAGTAAAACGGTCAATCTCATGCTCCCATGACATACTCTTTTCGTTAAGCGAGAAATCGAACATTCAGATAACTCGGAAGCATGTGGTGCTACAGCTGGTGAAAAACGAATTGGGGCGTCATCGTGAGCTTTGTTAGATCTTTGCATAGCACGATAAGTACTGATCTGCAGGAAAAAAATAATATAGCCGTGATATTACAACTTACTGAGTAATGAAGACCATGACGGGATTGGGGAGGATGAAGTGGTTGTTTTGATTGTTCCTTTAAATACACGTTATTGAAAATCACTAAGTGATCGCCCTTACATCAACAAAACCGAAAAGATTATCAATTTGTTCGTTAACAGTGTCTTCTACGATGCTTCCATACTTCTGAGATTTTGTGAGACTGGCGTATTCTCCCCCTCGAGATGGCCTCCGTTGAAGGGGTTGCTCAGAACGATAAGACTTTTCTCTAATGGCAGAATAGCCATTATTATCACCACTGGAAAGCTAAAACAGGAATCACGTAACAAGAATGAGTGAACATGCCTTGGAGCGTTCGATACTGGAACGTTTACTACGAGGAGATTCCGACATGTAGCAAATTTCAGCATAATCACCACTTGAAAAAACAATCATTTGAAAATTTTGATCGAAGTTACCTGTTTTTAGGATGTTTATCAACAACTGCATAATGGTTGCTACTACGCATGTTCTCATTTTCCTGAACAGGGCGCCTTCCACTACTGTATTGCTTGTCGCTTGCTCTGAATAATTGATAGATGCTAACTTGACAAGAAATTTTCAATACTTCGAAGGAACTCTATGAACACTAGAAGGATTTCTACTGACAGTAACAGGTGGTTCATCTGATCTTATAGATGGTATCCGGCAAAATTGCGAAGTCATATTGTCTAGAAATTAATTCCCTGTCTTCTACATAGCAGGGTAACCGTTACCATGATCCATGTAATCGTGCAAAGGTGTTGAAGTTCGATATCTGTCGATGACACTTCCATGATCAGATTCTTCATTCACGTCCAATAAAGCTCCATCGATACTAAAAAAATAAAGGCTAGCCAAACTTAAAGCAACGACATACTCATTTGAATAAACCCAGCTTTTGCGGTTCTTCTCGGGAACCGGTTCAACAGGATAGTACTTTTGCTCATTCAGATACATCTTTCTTTCCTGATACTGTAGTTCGACAGGATTATATTTCATATGATTTTCTGGAATGGAACTGATAATTATAGAAATATAGCAGTGCATTGCCTGAATTGTTCTGGCTTTGGCGGTCATAGATGTACAAGTTAGGACTTTCATTATTGTTTTCATCTTGTGAGTTAGTGAAAGAAGATTTCATTTTCAGCACAGCCTCTTCCTCCTTAGCCTTAGCTTGCATATTATTGAACATGGATGCAAGATTCCTAATTTGTCCTGCCTTGACTGACTCTCTATAAACATTGAAATATAAAAGTATTTAAAACTGAGATGCATACCTAACAGTACAGCCCGGTGCTCGTTTTGGATTATCAGACCACCTAACATCTGGCACTCTTTGTTGAGATTTTGGATTGTTAACAGTCCACCTATATAAACCACTGCTGTTCGATCCTACAAACGAGGTTGGAACAATGAACGCATAAGCAAATGATCAAACCATTAGACTGTGAGGTGTAATTACGCTTATCGTTTCTCAAGCTGTCATAAGAGTTATCCTAGAACAAGCCAAAAGTATAGATTTACAATTCTGACTATACCTCTCTCGAGTACTTTTCAAACTCATCAAATTTGGATTTTTGAATTCGAGATCCATTAGGAGTCTGAGGTTGTTTAGCTTCAGCGAGTACCTGACGAACAGATCAGTATATCTACATCTTATACAAAAAGCATACATTTGGACGTACCTGATCTCTCATTTCCGCTGCAATTTCTTTCGGGACTATTTCGATAGCTCCTGGAATTTCCCATGGTTTTTTCGGGATATCTTCCACTCTAGTCTGAACCAATTTGTTTCATTTCAAAGCCACCAACGACTAATAACCTGATTGTAATAACTCGTAGTGGTTACATCAGCTCTAGGAGCATTCCTAGTGAGGCTGTTCTCATTATCGTTATGAATCATTGTGACTTGATGATGAGATTTATTTCCAGTGTGATTGAAAGAGCCTTGTTGCTGGAAGAAGTTGTTGATGACAGCAGCAGCAGGATGCTGGAAAAAGTCATTAGATTGTTGATTCGGTATAATAGACATACTTGGTTGCTATTTCTACTGAACACAAGATTTGGCTGTTCCAGTTCCTTTGCTCGGAAATCAGTAGATGATTCTGAAGTTGAAGAGAATGAAACTTAGATAATTATTAAATCTATACCGTAATTAGAGAAATCAGTCATTTGGCGGAGTCTGATGGTCTCTCCAGTTTGGATGGCAATTTCACAATTCTTAAATCGATATCAAGCAGACGTACTGAGATTAGTTTTTACCTTACTCTCGGGTTTGTTTTTCTGAATACGTGATCTAGGAGCAACCGATTGTGGCTGAAACAGATCTCATTCACAAAAGATTTCAAACAGAATTTGATTAAATGTAAATTAAGTAACACACGACTCAAAATACGCATAAAGATTTTAACAACCTATTTCGCAATAACAATAAAAATACTTACAGTTAGCGCGTCAGTAAAAATGATTGGCTGGGGAACATCATCATTGGAATAGTTCTTTACTATCTGAAGTTATCTGATTTACAAACAGTCAAGATTTTTCCTCTTACATCAGCAGATGATTTCGAACGCATCCTAGCTTTTCTCAGAGCAGGTGGAGTATATCTTTGTACGGATGGTCGGCTCTGATAAGTTTGAGTGAATTAAAGCCGGTTATTAGAGTTGACTTACTGTCTCCTCAGGAGGTATGATAACAATATCCGGAATATTTTGATAATGACTCGTATCTTTACTGGACAGTGCTGAAGCACATCGGCTTGATGGACCTAAATCCCAATGACTTTCTAATCTGCTATTGTAATCAGCGATCAGTAGGTTCTCCTCTGTGTCATCCCCATTTTCACGGTTCTAAAATTCAACACAATACGATAAATCTCGAAGAGAGAGTTTGATCATAACAACCATTATCTCATACTGGGTATGGGATAGGTTGATACTCTCATTCGACGTACCACAACGCTCTTTCTGGAACCATAATGCGCTTGTTCTGCCTAGAAAAAAAAATATAGACTAACATTTATCAAGAAGGCACACACCATTTTAGGTTCGAGAACATCTTTCGACTTTTTATGTTCATCACTGTTCAGAGGGATTGAAATTTCATCATTATGAAGGCTGGAGGAACTTTTCTGTAAAAATATAGTGAAATGTACGGACACCGAAAGGTTTACATCTTTTTTTCCTTTTTGACAGTTTTGATTTTCAAAATATTCACAAGCCGTCTTCAAATTGTACAGTTTTGCAACATGGTAAAACACATACCACATAATTATCCACACTCTGGATTGACACAGCTCTGCTAGGTACAGCACTGCTGAAACCCTGGGTTTTGAAATCAGGACTGCACTTTCCACCATCCTACGAAATCAGTGTAAAGTTTTTGTCCATACGTTTAGTTGTAGTACCTCTTCTTCAATTCCAATATTTCTCAGCTCGTGTTCATTTGTTGATCGAAGCGACTAAACGAACAACAGATGAAAAAATATTCAAATTTTCAATACCTGTCGACTCATAGCACTTGTAGACCGAATAGAACCACCCAACTGTTCGTTTTGATCAGTCAAAAAATCTGTGGATCTCATCATCTTACGAGAACGGCGACTACGGCCTGCCGGACAACTAGCCCTACCATCAACAACTCCTGGAGGAGGTTGACCACCAACAAGAACAAACTCATCAGCATTCGTGTTGATTGAAAGCTGTTAAAAAAATAGAGTCAAAATCTTATCAATGACACTGAATATACTTTACTCAAACGATGGTTAGTACACTTCTCATCGTTCACCATCGATCTCAGCTGGACCTGTTCAGTTAGAAGATTATATCAGGCCAAACCAACAGATATAAACCTGTGTTTCCGAAAAATCATCCATTCCTTCACCTTCATCGCCATCTGATGGGAATCGAGCATTTCCAGAGAAGCTCACATGAGAACCAGTTCGGCTTGTTTTGACAAGAGGCTGATTTCTCTGAAACAATATAGATCATTTTTGAGTATAACTGGGCTCACTTTATCATAAAAATCATGTCCTTGCAAAGTGTGCGTTGATTTGGTTACATGCTTGCTGTGCGAGTGTTGATCGAAGTCAGAGCCGAACTTGAAAAAATTTGTTTTGGATATCCTTCAGTAAGGACCATACCTGGCAACTTCCGAATCTATTTCCATTATTACTTTCCACACCCAGCATCTAAATTCAATTTGATAAGGACGATCAGATACTCTGACCTGATTGAACTGTTCAACATTCCGTTCATAAACATTTTCCATAGAAGGTTTATGTGTTCCATCGAAATTATCCTTAGAAAACAAAAGGAATCGTCAACTGTTAACCATTCCGAGTTACATACCTGATAGCTATTCGTACTCAATCGGCGGGGGTTGACGAAGCTTCCATATCTCTCTTCTGGCTCCTTAAAAAAGGAATCAGGTCGTTAGAAAACTTTATAAACTCACATTGGTACTATGTATTGAAATAGATGATCTCCGAGAATTTGTTTCCACTGGTTGCAAGAACTTGTCATCAAGATTAGTTTGACTAGAAGATGGGCTTCTAGCGTTCTTTCGACTATGTTCGGATAGAACCTAAGCAAAACGACATTAAAGAATTAAGTGAGAACCCACCGAAACTTGAGACCTTCCTCGTGAGAGAGAGTCAAGATTTTCAGCATTCTGAAAATAAAAACTAATCACTAGGAAGAATCCAATCACGTACCCCAATTGAATAACGGGATTGACTAACACTTGAGCATCTTGATCTCTGAGAACTTATACTTTTTTTGTGGACGCTGTATTCTGAAATGGATACTTTCTCATTGGAGTAATCCTCTGAAGCTAGGAAAATACAGATAACAGAGATGATAGATTACCGTTATAATTTTGTTCCTGCTCTTCATAACTTGCTAAGTTTTCTTGTGAGGCAGACAAGCCGACACGTTGAGAACCATCATTGACACTGTTTCTTGATCCAGTCAAACCACTATGTCGGGATCCACCGAAAGCATTTTGCTGCGATCCCTCAAATCCGCTTCGACGAGAACCACCAAAAGCGTTGTGCTGGGATCCCAGAAATCCACTTTGTCGAGAATCACTGATTCCACTTTGTCGAGAACCACTGATTCCACTCTGTGTTTCTATGAACCCATTCTGTTGAGATCCTCCAAATCCGCTTTGTCGTGATCCTGCGAATCCACTTTGTTTAGATCCTCCAAACGCATTTTGTTGTACTTCTAAGAGCCCAGATTGTCGAGAGCCGCCTAAAGCTGGTTAAAAATTAATTATAGATATTAGTTTTTGACCTACCAATTTCATTATGTTGATAATCCGCATCTAAGTCTTCATTCACACTTTGCCGAGATCCAACAAAACTACCCTGTTGAGATCCATGGAACTCCTGCTGCTGGGATCCTCCGAAACCACTTTGTCGTGATCCGAAATCATTTTGCTGTGTTCCATCGAAACCGCTCTGTCGAGATCCTCCGAAATCATTTTGTTGAATACCAGACGAAACATTCTGCTGTGAGCCTCCGAAACCACTTTGTCGAGATCCAAAATCGTTCTGTGCTCCATCGAAACCACTCTGTCGGGATCCGCGGAAGTCTTTCTGTTGAGATTCACTGAAACCACTCTGTCGGGATCCGCCGAAAGCATTATGTTGAGATCCACCGAACCCGCTTTTTCGGGATCCACCAAATGCGTTATGTTGAGGTACATTTAACTCATTCTGCTGAGACCCACTATTAATATGCGGTTGAGATCCACCGAAGGCGTTTTGTTCGGATCCAGAGAATCCGTGTTGCTGGGAACCTCCGAAGCCACTTTGTCGAGATCCAAATTCGTTTTGCTGAGTTTCCTCGAAACCACTCTGTCGAGACCCACCAAATCCGTTTTGTCGCGATCCGCCAATTTCTCGCTGCTGGGAACTACTGAACCCACTCTGTCGTGATCCTCCAAAGTCTTTCTGCTGAGATGCACTGAATCCACTTTGTCGGGATCCACCAAAATCATCATGTTGAGATACGCCAAAACCATTGTTTTGAGAACCGCCGAAGCCATCATGTTGGGATCCACCGAACCCACTTTGTCGAGATCCTCCGAAGCCATCCTGTTGAGATCCACCGAACCCACTTTGTCGAGATCCACCGAAGTCATTATGTTGAGGTTCACCGAACCCACTTTGTCGAGATCCACCGAAGTCATTATGTTGAGTTTCACCGAACCCACTTTGTCGAGAGCCACCGAAGGCATTTTGTTGAGATCCACCGAATCCACTTTGTTGAGATCCACCGAATCCACTTTGTCGAGAGCCACCGAAGGCATTCTGTTGAGAGCCACCGAAGGCATTTTGTTGAGGTTCACCGAATCCACTTTGTCGAGAGCCACCGAAGGCATTCTGTTGAGAGCCACCGAAGGCATTCTGTTGAGATCCACCGAACCCGCTTTGTCGAGATCCGCCGAAGGCGTTATGTTGGGAGCCACCGAACCCACTTTGTCGGGATCCAAAAGTAGCTTGTTCAGGCCTAAGGAGTTGTTGCTGCTGCTCTCGATCTTCATATTCCGCCTGAAACAATAGTGTCGACTATAATTCTCAAACCCACAAACCTGATTGTTATTAAGATCCGTATTCGCTTTTGTATCAGAGGAGTTATGCTCTAATTGGCACATGCTGTCATCTTCATCTCCTCCACCTAGTACTCCGAATGCGCCAGTTGAAAATCCATTGTGAGTGATGTTCTTTCCTTTTTTGCCTTTCTTGCCTTTTTTGCCACTACTTTTTGGACTGAATGACACCTAGAATAGAATTGTTAAAGATATCTGATCAAATCAGCGAACTTACTTCTTCTTGCTCGACTACATTTGTTACTTGAGCTGGTTCTGATGGCTCGTCATCCCAATAGTTCTGATTGCTTTTCTTATTCTTAACAATACAAGTACGGTAATAAAACAGAACAAAAGAAACAATTCACCTTCTTTCCCATCACTAGATGTCTGTAGCTAAGAGAGTGTCAAAAAATCCACGACAAAGAAGTCGTCCACTACTAAAAAGCAATTAGAAAAAAAAATTTAAAATTAAAAAAAAAAACAACTGATTAAGTGATCAAATGATTAAATGTTTAGGAAATACTACACACGACGAAAAAAATGAAAATCGATTCGAATTTGAATATTTCATATCAATTTCATAAGGTCGGAGCTTTTCGTCTGGGGACTCATTAATTGCCCTAAGTACAATTAACTGGGGAGTTAATTGTACTTAGCGCAATTTGTACTTAGCGCAATAAATGAGTCCTCAGACGAAAATACCAATTATCATTTAAACACGACTTGATTATTGTTTCTGAGTTTTGTTTTGTTTTCCTGGCCATTCAATCATTTCACTTGTTGTTCTTGATTTTTTAAGTTTCATTAACTCGAGTCCAGTTGTGAATGATTTCTGTCGTCGATTTCTTGAACCGACAGATAGTGATAGAATGTAGATTAATTGTTTTTCTCTTTAATTTTGTTATCATATGTATATCCGCAAAATGAAGATTCAGTTCATACCGGGGTTCACCGTGACCCTTACCTATGCAACCGAGACACTCAAAATAGAAATTTTTATTAAATACAAATTATTATTATAAAACATCTGTAGGTGCTTCGTTCAAGCAGCTTGTCTGTAAGCGATGCAGGTGGTTAAACCCTTAGTTGCTTCGCAATACAAATTGGATGAGAAAACGTAAGAGAAATGGCCACGTGAACAAACAACATCTACATTTCCACCAAATTTGACTTCGGCAGCAACGTTTATCTTCCTTTTTGATTCCGAAGAATTGTCAGAAATGTGCTGTAAACAAGGAATTGATCTCAAAACTGGAAATTTTGGCACCTCTAGCATTAGTTGATGTAACACGTCACTATTGCACTTATCGTTGGATGGTTTAAGTTCTTCTCCTTTGACTTTGTTTGTTTCTGTAGCAACAGTCGTGGTGCTCACTTCTTCCTGAATAGTTGGTTAGTTACGGGTTTCTTCCATTTGGTTACTTGTTTTGTAACTGAAACAGTTGGTGCTCTTCTAATCTCAGAACTTCTTCTCAGTGAGGCGAATAGATCAGCATCCTCAAGCTAATAAAGGATTAGAAGAATAGTCAGCAGTTGGTACCTTCTCAATAGCTACGGCGCTTTCACTGATGACAGTAGGCTCTCCTAATCGTTCAAGCTGCTGGATGGCTTGGTTATTCAAGTTATCAGATCTAAGAGGAACACCAAAAGCAGCAGCTCTCTGAAATCAATGATTAGAAAATTAATCGAGTTTCACAAAATCTTTTGTTCAGCTGTGTACTGAACTGACCGAAATTTCTCTGTTTTCCCTTTCTAAGCGATTAGAGTGATTTAGATGACATATTTAAGAATTCAGTTAGTCGAAAGGAATTATTATGGAAGATACAGTAAGTGGTCGTACCAGTTCTAAATCGTCAGGTGTGTTGTAAACGTGGGCTGTGGGTGCAGCGTGAACTACATGAGTACACCCACAAGACGGTGACGATGGGCAAACAGGAGGTGGCGGTGGCGGAGGGCACGAGGGGGGTGCAGAGCATCCACAGCCATTGCCTCCTAAACCATACAGTTGATTTGTATTTAAAATAGTTTGAAGAACAAACCTAGCATGAAGAAAGCATTAGTAACTACGGGATAACACACTAAAACAATTGCGACAAGGGTTCTCACAGTCATTCTCACTGGATACGAGCGGATTGATGACTAGAATTTTCTATTAAAGAAGAAACAAACGAAGATGATCAGAAGATGCGCCACTGAAACAAGATCAAGGGCGGGTCATCCGTCAAACTTTCATCCTTTTCCTGATATCCTTTGTCTTTCACTTATCATCATCCCACAGACAATAAATCTACAAAAAGTTTTCCAGAGCATGGATGAAAACGAAAACTATTTTCTTAATCCACACAAACTGGGAAGTGCAGATAAAGAATCTTATATGTTTTCAGTTTTATCTTGATAGCGAACTGATTATTTGAAAGTGAAGCTTTTCTGCTTCTCATTGCTTCTCTGACTGTACAAACGAAAGTTTTCTATCCTTTCATTTCAATATTTTGTTGAACACAACAACGGACACTATTACAAAAAAGCCAAGGACACACACTGATCTTGGGAAATTTTGTGCATAACCTTTGAACTTCCAATTTAAACAAGTTCATAGTAGATGTGTAACGACCTTCCGCAAACAATCAAACATTTCGGCTCAGTATAAGACGCAGGCCAACCCGACACAACCGTTCCACTCTATCTTTTGGAATGAAATGAGTGCTCAACAGAAATATTCGAATAAGCTAATTTCAAATGATTCCATCGTTCAATGCCAGGATGATGGTGTTATGAAAAAGCGGTGCACTAAAAGAATTTCTGAATA